AACCGATCATGTTTTTGGAATTGAAGTTATTAGCGATCAGGTGACATTTCTTTCTGGAAACAGGCATGAAATATGATGGATATATTTCGGCTTTTACTCCAACTGGCTATAAGCAGCAAAAAAACTCGTAAATGCACTGACTGCGATAGGCGTCAGACAAACTTTTCTAGGGGGAATTATTTTGCAGCACATTTAACTACTCATGAGTAGTATATAGCAATCGGTAGAAATGATTAGTGACTGCAGAAGAATGGTCCGACAAACCACGGCCAGTGAACATAAAAATCGGTCACTCGATATGAAATATTCGAATGAAGCCTACCAAGTAATTAGGAAAGCATTAACACTTTATTAAGTATGAAAAGTATAAAAGTAAGTAAGTAAGAAAAATAAAGAAAGTCTGGTAGATACGTTGAAGCTCAGATTAATCCTGAAGTGATTAATTGTATCGGACTTAATGTCTTCAAATCCCGAATTAATCCATCCATGATGCAACTGCCTTTCATTCAGTTCAACTTACAATTCATTAGAAGTAAGAGAATCAACCAGAATTTCCGTTCAATATATGAATAGAAACCTAACAAATTTACCGACCAGATAACAGACCTTTTAAGCATAATCCTACACATCTTAGTGAGTCACGGATGCACGAAAGCCAACAGGTTAGTTGAGGTGTGTAGACGTGTAGACGTCGATGATAGACTGACATGATAACATTACGGGTAAAGCGTTACAAGTAGAGCCCAACGAGATTCACATACCTCCGTTAAGCGACATGGTTGACAGTCCATTGATAGTTGTCGCCGTGGGGACATAGGATAAACCGGGCAGATGATTGAACGCATCCGAAATAGACGAGGTGGAAGTAGCCGACCCACTAACTGCGACAGCTGCGGCAGCCGCAGCTGCCACGGCAGCAGCAGCATCAGCACGATGCTTCCAACGGATGTGCATTTGCAGGCTCGACGAAGAACGAAACGAGCGTTGGCAAAATGGGCAAGGACGGCCGGAGGCACCAGCACAGTGGAATCGACGGTGATTGGACAAACACGAAGCCTGAAAATAATTATAGAGTGCAATTCAGGTAATCCGTTTACAGGCCGGCTGAAGAACACTTGTGGGTATAAAAGGGACTTGAAACATCTTGTGAAAAACATACAGCACTTCGTTCGTCAAACGCTACGATAAACAGTTGGTTTGATACAGAACTCCTGAAAAGCTATGGTGAAAAACCTCTCTGTTGTGCACAATCCCAAGAGCTCTTTTGCCGATGCCCGTCGTAATGCTGAAAGCCATAACACAATGTTTACCGTTTATTGACTGACAGACAATATGACCGTTTCGCTTAATTGTTTTCCACGCACCTCAACAAACCCAAACCGAGAGAACACTTTTTCTTCAGATTACCAAGAGAAACGGATTTTGGATCACCTCATTGAAGTTTCATTTATACAACCATCAACCTTGCGATTCAATATGCTAGCAATGCTTGCAGCATTCCCGTTATCCAGCCAGTTAATAAATGAACAAAGGATAAGAAAAAAGCCTCAGTATGGCCGGGGGTGGGTGTTTAGCGTTGCGACTAATCACCCTTCCCTTGCACCTCGCCATACGATCAAGCGTCTCGAATAGCCTCTGCTGAGAAAGCCGTNTCTTGTGGCGGAGATGTCTTCCCACCAAAGTGACGGGACAAATAGCCGACATCCGGGGCTATAACCGGGTTGGTGAACCACTGGTAGTTCATTTAGGAGAGTTGACCAGAAACCCTGATTCCAAACCAACCATGAGGAGGTGTAGGAACCACACACGCAACTTTCTGGTTGTGAAAGTGGTCACCGGCTCATTTGGGCATCAAGGTGTATTGGACACCTGGACCCCGTCAGAAAGGTGTATGATCCAATGAACAGGACACCGATCCTCAACCGACTGCGATTTTCACACACCGCCCAGCTGTCTTGCGGGTCAGGCTTTGGCTAGCCGCAGGCTCCGGTTGTGATTTCCTCAAGAAAATTCACCTGCCTTGCCTGGGTAACCTGGCAGTATTCAGCTTATATGCTACAGCTTATATGATACTTGTGTGGTGAACAGTAGACGGGCTGGACCCCATGGTCACGTAGACCTACTGTTCAGTGACGGGAACCGGTAACCTGAGCCTCGGGAGTTGAAGTGGCGAACCACACGACGTCCCGCTCGATCAGATTTACGAAAAGTATAATTGTTAGATCGGTTACTGGTACGTCCTTGGATTGGCTTTCGTTTCCGTTGTCGTTGTTGTTGTGACAACGAGAAAATCAAGTTCACTGTTCCTGTGATCAGTGAACTATTTTCCTTTGGCAGAGCACAATGCCGCAAATAGTGGAAACCCCAAACTGCCGTTCACATATGTATTTGGCAGTCAGTGGTTAAAACTCAGTTTGCAGATCACTACTATTTGTTAAATTGAGAAGAGAATGGCACCAGAATCAAAAAATAACAGATGGAGGAGATCAAATCAATGAAGAAAATCAGATGATGTCACTACACACACCAGTTCGCGGATGATCGGATCCAGGACCACTGAAGCATCTGTGGTACCAGAACCCGAATGTCCGAATAAGCTCCTTGATAAATGTACAATGATAGCTGCTAACTAATAATGTAGTCAACCGTTCGAAAGCAGACAACTGAAAGTCTAAGATTGGGAGATGAACCGTTTGTGCGCCAGGTGGAAAATGTGAAGCAGCGTGACGTGTAAAAAAATGCTTGTGGAATCAGTATTGAAAAGCTTGCTCCAGAACAGCACGCAAAGATGCGCGATGAATACTATTGTATGATCAGCCGTATGCTTGTCTGACACAATCACTGGGATTGATGATTCACAGAACAGGCATCGAAACAGATGACAACAGGATTTCGACTGTCAATGAAAAGGAACAACGATTAAATACTCCTTGAATAAAAAAATAAGTCATCGAATAATCAAAGAGTGAACAAGAATCAGGTAATTAATTTAATCAATAAGGATAGATCACAAGCGAAGTCGACACAGCCTTACCTGTCGAAATGATTTACCGCAAACCGAGCAGTGGAAGCGAGGTTGGCTGGAATGTGTATAGCGATGTCGCTGCAAATTGCCACGATCCGAAAACGCTCGGCCACAGTCCGCACATGGAAACGGACGCTCACCCGTATGACGTCTGGTATGCGCAATAAGGCGGCAACGCATACCGAATTCGCGACCGCAGACGCCGCATCTGCAGTGTAGGACGGCGAAAAGATTAAAGCAGCCGAAAATAACATGGCAAAAAAAGAAGGAAACTTGTGATCAATAAATTGATGGCATTTACACTTGGGAAAGAACTATTTGCTTGCTTTCAGAACCGCCTAAAGCTCCTGAGGACGAGTAGATGGATCATTGCTGTGATATTCACGAATTGGAGAAATCCCTTGACTTCACTGGGTACAACCATTAATTTTGCAATTCCATGAACCAGTTTTTGTGGCTATCTTTTGCCTACTCATTCGATTGACGGACGGGTTACCGCCAGTTACCCTAAAAGTCTTGCATTCCTTACCACAAAAGTACAAATGGGATACGAAGTAAAAGTGCAATGGGATGTATGCGACAGACGCCCAAGGAGCCTGTAAAATGTACAACCGACCAGAGTATTTCCTTCTCACTAATATCAAATCCAAGTTACACAAAATATTCGTTACTATCACATTTCTTGGTGACGAAAGGAGTAAATGTGCACCTGAAGATTGGCGCCTTATTCTGAAGTCTTTTGTTAATTCCGTCATATGATCTCGAGGAACAGTTTGCGACAGATGGCCTGTTTGGTGTCTATCTGATTCATCTGTAAGCATGTCTCCGAAAGTTCCAGTTCATCCGAAGGTGAGTGTCTAAGGTAGAGACCCATCACCCTTGCCACGTATCTCGCGAAATGCTCCTAAACGACTCAGGATATCATACAGCCTCCCCTGAGGAAC